GGAGAAGAAATCTATGCAAGAAGAGAATTTGAAATGAAATTCTCTAGCCGCAATTCTTGATTGGTTTTTGGCCACAAGTTTATAACGGTTTGTAGCCAAGATTTTTCTATAAATAGAGCTACCGTAAAGAGAATTAATATGTCCCTTGAGAGTAAGAAAAATAGGATAGAGAAGAGAGAAAAAAAGAGAGATTAGAGAGACTCTTTTGAGAGGTTTTTTTTGAGTTTGTAAACTCCGTTGTAAATTCTATTCAAGTAGAAATAGAATTATTATTCCTCTTTTATTTTCTCTTCACGTGATCGGAGAATCACAACAAGTGGTATCAGAGCTTGGTTCATCAATTAACCCTCATAGTTTTGATAAAGCTTTTGCAAGTCAAGACGTCAATGGAGGAATCTTCATCAGGAGCTATGATCAAACTCACTGCCACCAATTACACACTGTGGAGGCCTCGGATGGAAGACATCCTTAGTTGTAAGGATTTGTATGACCCCTTGGAAGCCAAAGGTGAAAACCCCGATCCTACCAAAGAGGCGGAGTGGAAAAAGCTAAATAGAAAAACTATCGGTCAAATTCGACAATGGATTGACCATAGTGTTTTTCACCATGTAGCACAAGAGACAGATGCATATGCTCTCTGGAAGGTTCTAGAGGACATGTACCAAGCCAAGACCGTTCGAAACAAAGCCCTGTTGATGAGGCGTTTGGTGAATCTGAAGTTAAAGAGTGGAACTTCAGTTGCTGAGCACACCAGTGAATTTCAGAGCTTGGTAAACCAATTGTCATCTGTGGAGATGCCGCTTGGGGATGAAATACAAGCCTTACTACTTTTAAGTTCTCTTCCTCATAGTTGGGAGACATTAGTAGTATCTCTTAACAACTCAGCCCCTGATGGCAAACTTACCATGTCTATGGTTAAGGATGCCCTATTTAATGAAGAGATCAGAAGAAAAGACGTAGACACGGACCACTCACATGCCCTTGTCACAGTGAACCGGGGAAGACAACAAGGAGGCGTTCGAGGCAGGGGGAGAGGTAAAAGAAAAAGTAGGGGTAAATCTATAGATGGAAGGAAGCCTACTTATAAGTGCTACTATTGTGGTATGGAGGGCCACTTGAAGAAGAACTGCAGAAAATTACTACGAGAGCAAGGCCACAACAGTTCGCAGCCGAAAAATAAGGAGAGACACTAGTAACTATTTCTGGAGAGGTGGCTATCTGCTCCATCCATGAGGAGACATGTCTTCATGTCTCAAACCAAGATATTGAGTGGGTAATAGACACTGCAGCATCTTATCACGCCACTCCACGCAAAGATTTCTTCACAACATACAAAGCCGGCGACTTTGGTGCAGTGAAGATGGGAAATACCAGTTCTTCTAAGATTATAGGAATTGGTGATATTAAGATACAAACGAACCTCGGGTGTAAAATAACCCTGAAGGACGTTCGACATGTACCTGATCTTCAGCTAAATCTACTTTCAGAGATAGCCCTTGACAAAAAGGGCTATGTCAATCAATTTAGCAATGGCACATGGAAAATGATGAAAGGTTCCATGGTTGTCGCTCGAGGACATATATGTGGCACTTTATACAAGACTCATATGAAAATGCATGCGGATAGCCTCAACGTAGTAGAATGTGAACCTTCTCAAAATTTGTGGCACCAAAGACTTGGTCACATGAGTGAGAAGGGATTGTTTACTTTGACAAAGAAGGAGCTAATTACAGTTGCTAAGGAAGCTGCGCTGGATCCTTGCAGTCACTATCTATTTGGTAAGCAACATAGAGTCTCCTTCAATTTCTCTTCTACGACATGATCAGAGTTGCTCAATCTAGTACACTCTGATGTTTGTGGTCCCTTGGAGGTTGAATCACTAGGCGGTAACAAGTATTTTTTAACATTCATTGATGACGCTTCTCGAAAGGTATGGGCATATTTCTTGAAGACAATTGACCAAGTATTGAATTACTTCAAATCATTTCATGCCATGGTAGAGCGTGAAATAGGAAAGAAACTGAAATGTCTCCGCACAGATAATGGAGGCGAGTATACTTCCAAAGAGTTTGATGTCTATTGCAAGACATACGGCATTCGACATGAGAAGACGGTCCCACGTACTCCACAACATAATGGAGTCGTTGAGAGGATGAATCGGACAATCATGGAAAAGGTCAGAAGCATGATAAGTATGGCTAAGCTGCCAAAACCATTTTGGGGAGAAGCTGTTCGAACCGCCTGCTACTTGATCAACAGATCACCATCTGTACCGTTGAATTTTGAAATTCCGGAGAAAGTATGGTCTGGTAAATATCCCTCCTACTCTCACCTGAGAGTATTTGGCTGTTTAGCCTTTACACATGTATCCAAAGAGCTAAGACAAAAGCTAGATGCAAGGACCACTCCATGCATCTTTATAGGCTATGGAGATGAGGAATTAGGATACAGATTATGGGACCCAAAGACAAAAAAGGTCATCAGAAGCAGGGACATAGTGTTCTATGAAAACCAAACATTAGAAGACATTGAAAATCCCTAAATATCTCCTAATTCTAATTTTGGTGCCCAAAATATTGCTCCAGATCCAGCACAAACACAATTCACCATAGATAATGACGATGTGTATGAGGAAATGCCGGAAGCAGAACAGGAGGATGAAGAAGGGGATATTGATCAGGGGGAGTCACAATCCTCTTCACCAGATGTTGTTGGACCATCACATCAGCCAGATGATAATACACCTCCTGAAATTAACGATCCACAGGTAAGAAGATCTGAACTAGGTCAGATTCCATCAACAAGATATCCAGAATCAGAGTACCTTTTGCTCACTGACGAAGGAGAACCAGAGAGCTTTCTGGAAGCACAAACTCATGTGGACAAAGACAAGTGGATACAAGCAATGCAGGATGAGATGGAGTCACTGCAGAAAAATCAATCATATGAGTTAGTTGAACTTCCGAAGGGAAAGAAGACATTAAGGAATAAATGGGTTTTCAAACTCAAGAAAGATAGCAGTGGAAAGGTGGTAAAACATAAGGCCTGTTTGGTAGTCAAAGGATTTCTTCAAAAGAAGGGAGTTGACTTTGACGAGATTTTTTCACCTGTTGTAAAAATGACCTCAATTCGAGTTATCCTTGGATTAGTAGCCAATCTGAATCTAGAGCTTGAATAGATGGATGTCAAAACAGCATTTTTTCATGGTGTTTATATGAAGAAATTTATATGGAGCAGCCAGAAGGTTTTGAAGTTTCAGGGAAAGAAAACTTCGTTTGTAAGTTAAAGAAGAGCTTATATGGTTTTAAGCAAGCACCTAGGCAATGGAACAAAAAGTTTGATTCTTTCATGGTGAGTCAAGGCTATAAAAGAACAGCTGCGGATCAGTGCGTTTATATTCAACACTTTTCGGATGGCAATTTTGTTGCTCTTCTATTGTATGTAGACGACATGCTGATCGTCGGACAAGATGCAACAAAAATCAGGCAGCTGAAGAAGGAACTCTCCAAGTTCTTTGACATGAAGGACTTAGGCTCAGCTCAACAGATTTTGGGAATGCACATAACTCGAGATAGGAAGAATAGAAAGTTGTGGCTATCCCAAGAGAAGTATGTTGAACGAATGATCAAGAGATTCAACATGCATAATGCCAAACCTGTCAACACTCCATTAGCAAACCACTTCAAGTTGAGCAAAATTCCATGCCCCTCATCCAAGAAAGAGATAGAGGAAATGTCATTGATACCTTATTCTTCAGCAGTTGGAAGCCTGATGTATGCCATGGTATGTACAAGGCCAGATATTGCACATGCAGTAGGCATGGTGAGTCGTTTTCTTTCTAATCCTGGAAAGGAACATTGAGAGGCAGTCAAGTGGATTCTCAGGTACTTCAGAGGTACATCAAAGATATGTCTGTGCTACGGGGGAACTGATCCAATCTTGGAAGGTTATACAGATTCAGATATGGCGAGAGATCTTGACAGTAGAAAATCTACTTCGGGATTTTTCTACACTTTTGCAGGGGGAGCTATTTCATGACAGTCAAGACTACAAAAGTGTGTTGCTTTATCTACAACAGAAGCAGAATATATTGCAGTGACGGAAGCAGGTAAAGAAATGTTGTGGTTAAAGAGATTTCTCCAAGAATTAGGGATCAAGCAGAAAGATTATAAAGTACGTTGTGACAGCCAGAGTGCTCTTGACTTGAGTAAGAACTCAATGTATCACTCTCGAACAAAGCACATTGACATCAGCTATCACTGGATAAGAGAGGTGATGGATCAACAGCTGTTGAGACTAGTAAAGATTCACACAAATGAGAATCCAGCAGATATGTTAACAAAGGTGGTTATAAGGGAAAAGTTAGAGCTATGCAGAGACATAGCTGGGTTAGTTGTCCGATAGCAATTGATTTGAATGCGACTGGAGGGGGAGAATTGATATATTCCAGCTGCATTCAAGATTCTTTTATGCCGAAATTGTTGAAATTTCAATTGCTTAATAAACAAGTAATTCCCACCAACATGCATGCATGAAGGATGAAGAAAAATTTGAATTAAAACTCTCTACCTTTTGACGGCCACAACTTCAATTGCTTAGTGGAGAAGAAATCTATACAAGAAGAGAATTTGAAATGAAATTCTCTAGCCGCAATTCTTGATTGGTTTTTAGCCACAAGTTTATGACGGTTTGTAGCCAAGATTTTTCTATAAATAGAGCTCCCGTAAAGAGAATTAATATGTCCCTTGAGAGGAAGAAAAATAGGATAAAGAAGAGAGAAAAAAAGAGAGATTAGAGAGACTCTTTTGAGAGGTTTTTTTTGAGTTTGTAAACTCCATTGTAAATTCTATTCAAGTAGAAATAGAATTGTTTTTCCTCTTTTATTTTCTCTTCACGTGATCGGAGAATCACAACATTCCTGACCATCTTTGCCATTTCACATGCAAATAGAGCTTGTGTGCTATACTCTGAAAGCCCATACTGGATACATCCACCCTCGTCAGTTCCCTTACTATTCATAAGATTCACGTTGCTCGGAAGTGACTCATGATACAACCTCTACAAAAACACACTTTCCTTCAGAGGTATTCGGAGCTTCCACAGGGCATTACACATCATCACTTTTCTTAGGAACTGGAACCAATATAGTTTAGGCCATTGTTCAGCAAGAATGTATACCCACTTTTTTTGTCTTCCCCGTTAGAATGCTCAGAGGGATTGACACTATGAACTGAGTAAAAGACATTTGAGATTTTAGAAACATCCCACAAGCCAGGCTCTAAGATGAGGTCTTGACTGTTAAGAATTTGATTCTCCTGCACAGTACTGTCACTGTGCATACCATAAGGAGCGTCAATTTTCCAAGCTTTTGCACCTCTCACACCAGTTAAGAATTGGATTCTATTGCACGACTGTAAATTCAGTTATATGTAGTATCATTATCAATGCTGAAACAATAAAAACCATTACAGGTTGAAGCAAGAATATGATGCAAAATACACATAAATCACCGAGAGTGAGAGAGAGAGAGAGAGAGCATGAAGATTAAACTCTGGAATCAATTGGTATCACAAATATTTGGTCCCAAAATAATTTAATGTAATTTCAAGTAAGAGAAATGCTAACTTAGCAATGTGGAACCATTTCAGTCGACAGCTTTGCAAACTGAAGACAACCAAACAGCAAAAATTAGCACAATTGCCATGAAAAAATGATAGGTATAAATTTTCCGACATATAATATCCACAAATAGTAATACATTTCATAAGCATATTTGCTAGCCGTCCATCTGACATGTAACATGCGCAAAAAAATCAATAAAGACAGATTTATCATTAGAATATCAACGCCAGATATCTTGAAAAGATTATCGAATCTACCATTAATACTATCGTTACAACAATACAAACAAACGAATCATTATTTCCCAAAAGACAAAGAGGGTGCTATATAAGCTCTACGACCAGTAATCTTGGAATCGGCTACAATAGTTCTTTTTGGCAACTCTATTCATCCACCACATACATCTATTGATGCATCAAACAGAATCAAATATTTGGCAACCACATCAAACAGGTTAATCTTAATAACTTTCATCCTCTTCTAAATTGTTTTACTGGGATCATAAAGCTCTTCATTACAACTTCTTTAGGCGTGCTAAAGTGTAGATACCATTTCCTGGATGTTGAAGCACCAGTAGTTTGTATTGTTATTAACGGCCATTATCACCCATTCATTTCCCACAACAAAAAATTAGAGATCTTCAAATCACTGCAGGAAAATATGGCCAGATTGCTGCATCAATGAGCGAAAACCATGTCATTCCTTCTGGCTGGTCGGTCAGGAATACTACCAGGCTTAAACTTTGAAGCCTCGTGTCTGGCAAGCTCTGGAGGCACAGGACTGTTGCTCTGTATAAGCATTTGCTTCAGATCGTAGAAGACATCAGTATCATGCAAAGTCAAGAATGTGGTGGCAACACCAGTCTTCCCTGCACGCCCTGTTCTCCCAATACGATGGGTGTAAGCTTCAATATTACCAGGCATATCATGATTTATGACGTGTGCCACATCATGTATATCAATACCACGACCTACTACATCAGTGGCGACCAAAACATTGTATCTCTTAGTTCTAAATCCCTCGAGGCTTATTTCTCGCTGCTCTTGCGACTTCCCCCCATGCAATGTAGTCACACGATAGCCCTCCTTATCCAAGTTTTTGGTTACATTATCAGCAACCTTCTTTGTGTTAACAAACACAATAGCTGTCTTATCCCCAAGCTCATCCAGGAATTTCTTCAACCTACCCTGTTTATCATTCTCCTTCATCATGATAACATGTTGAGTAATGAGATCAGTTGTCTTTCCTGCAGTGCCTATGGTAACAACAACAGGATTTCTCAAGTACTTCCTTGCCAGCCGCTCCACAGCAGGCGGCATGGTAGCACTAAACATGTAGGTCGTTCTATAAATCTTGTTCTCATCAAGCTCTTCTTCCTCATTCTCTGGTTTCAAGTTACTTGAAGGCATTGCATCCAGTAATCCCACAACTTGAGGTTCAAAACCCATATCAATCATTCTATCAGCCTCATCAAGAACTACATAGTGACACTGATTAAGAACCGCATACCGCCTCTCCAAGCAATCAAGAAGACGTCCAGGCGTTGCAATCACAACCTCACACCCTTGCCTAATCCTAAAACCTTGTTCTTCAATGGACTGCCCACCAACAATAGAAACAACCTTAATACCCAGATAATGAGCGAACTTTACAGTCTCCTCCTCAATTTGCTGAGCAAGCTCTCTAGTAGGTGCCATCACAACTGCATAAGGCCCCTCAGCCTCATTCTCTTCGGTCATAGGAGGAAGTCGGGTAATGTAAGTTAACATGGGAAGAACAAAGGCAGCAGTTTTACCTGAACCAGTCTCAGCAACACCAATCACGTCACGCTGCTGCAGCCCAAGAGGAATGGCAGCCATCTGAATTGGCGATGGAGTCTTATAGCCAGCCCTCTCCACTGCCTTCAACAACTCGGAACTCAACTTGCTCTCAATCCAGCTCCTCATAGGGCGAGGAATTTTCGAACCCTTGTAAGAAATATTAAAATCTTCCCTAAAAATTCTCCAGTCTCTCTCAGTCATCTCCTCAAGCTTCTTCTCAGACCAATGGCGATCCACCCTCATATCAAAAGTATCATACAAGTCAGCAGCCTTCTCCTTCTTCTTTTGTGCAGCAGCTTCCTCTCGGGTCTCCTCAACACCCTCTTTCTTCCTAACCTCCTCACGAATCTCCTTCTCATTCTTAGCCGCAAGCTTTTTCTGCTCCCTTCGATCCATTCCTGCACGAAGTCCTCGACCAAATAGTAGCCTAGCTTCATGAGGATTCTGATACAGCGAGTTCATATCCCGAGAAGTGTCCTCAGTATTCTCCCAATCGAAAGAGAACCGGAACTTCTCGCTAGGTTTAATCACCCGCTTCTTAGGTTTTTTAGACCCCAAATACTGTTCCTTAATAGCAGCCAATTCCACTTCACGCTCTCGCTCGGCCAATTTCTCCAATCGAGCACGCTCACGTGCCTTCTGCTCTTCATCGCGCTCTTTCTCTCTATTCCTTCGCTCCATATCCCTATCCCTTTCTCTTTCTCTTTCTCTTTCGCTACCATGGTCACGCGAAGACCGGCGGTCCAAATCCCGGTCGCGATCCCGATCCCGGTCCCGTTCGGAAGAAGAAAGGGGTTTAGCGTCATTGTTGCTTTGTAGGAAAAGTTCGGCTTTGCGTTTTTGTTGAGCGATTTCCTCTTGGCGGCGTCGAAGGGCAAGCTGTTCTCGCTCAGTTTTTGTCAGAAATACAGGCTTCTTCACCCCATCAAGCTTCTCTACGACGTCATCTCCATTCCTCTTCATCTCTCCCTGTCGAATTGAACTTAGAACTGAGAATTTTGGGTTTTATGTTGAGAAATTCGCTTTACTGTGAAAGAAAATAGTGAAATTGATATTTCCGATCGAAGCCGTGACTTTCCCGGACTGAAGCTTTGATCGTAGCGATCATTTGAATAAGGTAGTTTACTAATCTCTGACATTCCAAAACTATTGAATGTATCATTAGTCGTATTTATATAACGTTGTTATAAATGTTAAAAAATTTAATTATAGTACAGAACCGAACGGAACCGAACCGATCCGAACCGAACCGAACCGAATGGAACCGAACCCGAACGGTTCCATAATTATATTTGGACCCGACGGTTCCATTTACTAGATACCCGAAAAGTTTGGTTCGGTTCGGTTCTAAAGAGAACCGAACCGAACCGACCCGCGCCCACCCCTAATTAATAGCGCCCCTTTTCGCCCCCAAGCTCATCTCATTCTCAATCTTTTTCTTTCTCTTATTTTTAATTACACAATTTTTTATAAAATAATATTACACAAAAATAAAAAAAATTTCATTATTTTTCAACCATATATTTTTCAAAAAATCACTATTCCATCTATTAAAATTAACTAAAAATGGAGGTCAAACGGGGACATATATGATTGGTTAAAAAATTAATATACTAATAACTTTTGTAGTCTCTATCTTTTCTATTATTTGTTTGCCAAGCAAAACTAGAGTTAATTGTTCTAATGGTCAATGAACTTAGATCCACATCTTTGTTGGCTACTAAACTTTAAAATATCGAATTTTAGTCACCAAACTTTGAAAAATGTTGAGTTTTGGTTACTGAACTTAAGTCAATATTTTCGATTGCTCACTGAATTTAGGTTCATGTCTTAGATTGCTCACTGAACTTATATCCATGTCTTAAATTACTCGCTGAAATTTAAAATGTCGAGTTTTGGCAATTAAACTTTGAAATATGCCGTAAGTTACTCGCTAACATAACTGTTGAATTAAGAAACATATCGAGTTTACAGTAAATAATGTACAATATTTTTCAAAGTTCTGTACAACATTTTTCAAAATTCAGTGGTCAAAACTCGACATTTTAAATTTCAATGAGCAATGGAAGACACAGACCTAAGTTCAGTGACCAAAACTCAACATTTTTTAAAGTTCAGTAATTAAAACTCGACATTTTAAATTTCAGTGACCAATCAAAGACGTGGACTTAAGTTTAGTAACCATTGAAACAATTGACTCGCAAAACTACAAGCCCAAAATCGTTTCTTTGGGAACTTGGTTTTTAACCTATAAAAAAGCTCAGCTTAGTTCTCAACCCCACTTTTAGCTATAGAATTAGTCCTCACTCAATGAAAGAAATCATTCAAAATTTTCTTTTCTTTTTCTGAAAGTCAATAATTTTATTAAATATTAAGACCATGTTTGTTTCTCATTCTTTTCTCATTAAAATGAAAAATATAACCGTTATACATCACATCAAACTACTAAATTTAAATTTTTATCTCTTGTGCGGAGCCCATAATGACTATATTTTTCAACATTTTAAATTTCAGTGACCAATCAAAGACGTGGACTTAAGTTTAGTAACCATTGAAACAATTGACTCGCAAAACTACAAGCCCAAAATCGTTTCTTTGGGAACTTGGTTTTTAACCTATAAAAAAGCTCAGCTTAGTTCTCAACCCCACTTTTAGCTATAGAATTAGTCCTCACTCAATGAAAGAAATCATTCAAAATTTTCTTTTCTTTTTCTGAAAGTCAATAATTTTATTAAATATTAAGACCATGTTTGTTTCTCATTCTTTTCTCATTAAAATGAAAAATATAACCGTTATACATCACATCAAACTACTAAATTTAAATTTTTATCTCTTGTGCGGGGCCCATAATGACTATATTTTTCATTTTTACAAAAATGAAAAACAAACACCCCCTAAATGTCTCCTGGAATAACAAGGTTGAGAGAAAAGGAAATATATTTAATCCACCAAGTTGAAACATTACCTATACATGTTTGAACTGCAAGTTTGTGAACCCTTTATTTTAAGGTTAAAGGATAGAACAACAAGAGTCACGAGCAATTAAACCTAATAACTCAACAATATCTAAAAGAAGACCCTCAATTGGGTCAAGAAAAATTTGACACCAACTAATGAACAAGTCAGGGTGAGTTGCGTTTCACACAGTCAATGTAAACTTCTATGCTTAGTGCGAAATCCTTGCTTACCTTGCATTTTTTTTTCTTTTAATATATGTGTGTGTTACATTCTATAGTTTTTATTTTGAAAAAGTGATAAGTAATTATTGTGGTGTTTTTTTTCTTCCCATTATCCCAATATTTTAGGGAAGTTAGTCGATAGAAAAAATAGTTGATTCGCTTATATTTAAACCTATGTTGCTTATGTAATTAAGGCAGAATGAAACTATTTGCAACTCTTGGTTGTAATTTGAAGGTTGGTTCCTCAAAAATCAACATTTGGGAGGCATAGATTTCTTCGAATTAACCTAATCCGTGACCATTTTGACCTCAATTGTGAAAACAACAACTCTTAATCAACTAGGACAAGGTGAATTGATGTAGTAAACCAACTTGTGCATCTTTACCCACCCACGAACCTAGCGTTTTCTTCGAAATAGCTGTCGTTAATGTCCCAAAGTCATCTTTGATAATTGCCCCCCTAAGTGCAGCTCTGCATCCCCGAAACTTCACCCCTAAAGAACATGTCTCACTTAATAGCTCGAGTTATGTATAGTTGTAGTGAGGATCAAAGATGAGTTGATTATATAACAATAATGGAAGAGTAGACATCAAATTTGGTCTCTCGTTTTTTTTTTATATAAAGGGGGAACCCGCAGTCGCTACCCTTCGAGTGCCAACTAGTAAACCCTCGAGCTGACGTAATAACATGCACTTTGGTCTTTAATACTAAATACCAAAGTGCAGGACATTGAAGAATATCATTGCAATTTTTCTCCCGTATTTCTATTGAAAGAAAAAACATAATCAACTTTTTATAGTGATGAAAAACTCTTCTATCTTACTTTTCATGTATTTAAAATATCTCCAGCATAAGATCGTAATCTTGTATAGTTGTCCGTGTTTGTCTCCATCTATACTTACGAATGTGAGGTAAATATAATATAATGAATAGAGATGGATTACTTCATTCCAATATAGTAATATAGTAATAATTTAGATCATGATTGATGTTGGAATCTTCACATGATATTGAGAGATGATGAAGAACAATCTGTCAACATGATTCATGAACAAAACATTGATACCACAAATAAATGAAGAAGAAAACAAACAAAATTACAAGCTTGAATAGCATAGAACACTGTCCTAAAATTGTTATTCGCTTCCTCTCCTTCAAGTAGGGATACTTAAGGGACTCCAAACAAATATTTTAATGGATTCTTCAGGCCTCTGATTGGATTGTACAAGATGAAATCCAAAAAATAAGAACAATAGGAATATTAATAAATCTTAATTTTGTGTGTTTATTTTCAAATTTGGGAAATGTTAATTGTGTCTTTCCTCATCAATTTCTAATTTTATACATAAAGAAGTACCACTCCTACGCAAAAAGATACACCTCAAATCATGAAAATGTTGTAGAGAGTTGTAGTATGACCCAAATTCTATTGGGCATTTGTGTTTAGATTGAAGATGACTTAAAAACGTCAAATTATGGAACAAGAAGAAAAAGTGGGCACATTCCCCCTTGCTGTACGTCTGGCTCCAGCTCCAGCTCCAGCGCTCAAAAAAGGAGCGCTGGCGCTCATTTGGTGCCAAGCTGTCGCTTGAGTGGAAGAGTTACCGTTCACTTGGAGGCTGCTTGGCACTCGATGATTTGGGTAACTAACCTCATGACTAAGGAGGACTTGCGCAGCATACTTACAACGATGATTTGGATTTGGGTTACTACCATTTTGGGTAGTCCTTCATAGCTGCTGGCATACAGCTTCTCTCAAGAGAAAAGGTGGATGGAAGTTCAGACCACTTTCTCTAGCCTGTGTCGCTTGAGTGGAAGAGTTACCATTCACTTGGCGCCTGCTTGGCACTCGATGATTTGGGTAACTAACCTCATGACTAAGGAGGACTTGCCCAGCATACTTACAACGATGATTTGGATTTGGGTTACTACCATTTTGGGTAGTCCTTCATAGCTGCTGGCATACAGCTTCTCTCAAGAGAAAAGGTGGATGCAAGTTCAGACCACTTTCTCTAGCCTGCACAAGTTCTCAACATTGGTAGCATTGTTTTGTAACATTGTAATGGGAAGGCATGCTGATAGGAAAAAAAACCGCAAATTGATTATTTGTATTAGAAACATAGTATTGCGCGTTACACCAGAAGAATATTCCCCAAAAAGTTCTAAATTGTAGATTCAATCGAACTTGCATATACAGGCATTGAGAATAGAGGCGAAGCTGGGATTTTAGTTCAGCGCGGGCAAATTTTTTTCGACATCAAATGTCGAGATTTTGGTCAAGGATTTCATGACGCTAAAAAAATAAAATAATAGTACGATAATACTAAAAGCGACATAATTTATATATTTCATTTGTTTCTTGATGGTTTTAATACTCTGTGCGAACCGGAACTATGACGCTACAATAGGGACGAATTCTCTCACTCACAGACAAAGGGTTTGATTGATTCAAATGAATGAATGATTGGATTGATTCAAATGAATGAATAGGTTTGAGTCAATTGAATTTTGAGGGAATGGGTCTAATAGGGCTTTTCTCTCTAAGCTAGACACCGAATATTGAAAAAAGACTATGGATATTCACTACTATTGATATCTGAAACTTTAGAAGTGGGTTAAAAAAAAAAAAAAATCTGCCCAAAAGTCCAGATACCCGCACTGGACATGCATTGGCTCCGCCCATGTCGAGAAGGAGAAGGTGGCCAAGACTTAGCACAAATCCAACAACAGCATGCTTCTCTTGGTCAAAGTTTTTAAACATCATCCTCCTTCAAGTCCTCATTTATAAAACCTTGCACCAAATCAACCAAGCAAACAATAGTAGCTAGAGGACGACAGCAATCTTCCTAAACGAGATTGTGTTATCAAAAATGGAAAGGTCGTCAAAATCATTAAATTAGAGATTATATGAATTATATTGATAGTCAAGACAAAACAAGATCGAAAATTAGAATATTGATTCCCAATTACAATCCTTGACAAGCAACCACTATTGATATCAACATAACATCATTATCAGGTTATGGATCACTAAACATCAAATCCATACCTCATAGCTTAGTACCGACACCTATGACTTGAGTCGTCGATTCTGTAACTTTACTTTGCCCAAGCCCATGTTCAGTAAAATATTCCAATTAAATGAAAAACGTGTTTTAAATTTCCATAATCCACCAATAATTAATCCACTCAGCTAGCCCAGCCCAATTTCCGTCCCAAAACAATACCACCCCTCTTTCTGTCTTTCATCCTTTCTTTTCTCGTTAATTTGAGAAATTGAAAACCTAAAGGACTGTTCTCTTTGTTATTTTCAATTCGTTTCTATTCTCGATTTTTCAAAACATTTACCTCATAGCTTAGTACCGACACCTATGACTTGAGTCGTCGATTCTGTAACTTTACTTTGCCCAAGCCCATGTTCAGTAAAATATTCCAATTAAATGAAAAACGTGTTTTAAATTTCCATAATCCACCAATAATTAATCCACTCAGCTAGCCCAGCCCAATTTCCGTCCCAAAACAATACCACCCCTCTTTCTGTCTTTCATCCTTTCTTTTCTCGTTAATTTGAGAAATTGAAAACTTAAGGGACTGTCTCTTTGTTATTTTCAATCCATTTTATGTTCTCTATTTTTCAAAACAGTGAAAACGTGTTCTCTTTTCTATTTTCGAAAATGAATTTTTGAAAAAAAAGAATGTACTAAGAACTTAAAACGTCAAAAATGATGTTTTGTGCATTTTCAAGCCAAATCACGCGAAATATGAAAACACGGGAAACGGTTCATTTCCCCCAAATTCGTCCTCTTTCTTGAGCAACCAATCCTCCTCTTCCTTCCATCAATAACAACCACCAACTGCCTCCTAAGCCGCCGGACCCACACACCACCGGCACCTCATCACCTCCCTCTACAACCTCCGACCATTGCCTGCCCACCAGATCACCGGAAACAGCGCCAATTCCCATCCAAAACCTCGAGAGCAGTCACGATTTTTTCCCAGTTAGTTCCACATCCGGCCACCCTCTCGATCGTGGAGCACCACCACAACATTACTCTCAACCAGGCGCATCTAATTCTACCATGGGTCACCCTAAATTTTGTCTAGAATCGACTGAGCTTGTTGGAGCAGAATCGGTTGAGCTTGTTGGGTAGCTCACAATTGTAACCCTATACAGCTTAAGGTAATTCTATCTTCTTCTTCTTCATCTTCTCCTCCTCCTCCTCCTCCTCCTCTTTGTATTTTAATCCTCTGCCGTAAAAGACAACTTGCTGACTAAATTGTCTTTTGAAAACTTTGTGCTTCTACTTTACTGAATTTATATCTCAAACAGTACATGGTAATGTTAAACAAAGCTTTAATTGACAATTTGTTTACTTGGGTAGTGCGTGAAGATCAGTTGGTGTCTAACTCGTCTCGGATTTCCAAAAGGTATTATATGCCAATTGGAAAAAATATTGCAGAATAGTTGGTTTCTTTGTGAAGAGAGAGAGAGATGATATATTAGAGGAAAATATGCTAAGTACTTGGCCTTTATATATGAAATCCCCCTACAGATAATTAACATCGAAATTTGATGTTAGAGAGGTGATTTTTGGATAGGTTTCCATTAACAACTAGCATATTCTACAATATGTATGTCTGAGTTTATTTAGTTATCAACCCCCCTTCTTTTTCTATCGTGTTGAGGAATTCAAGAGTGGGCTGAGGTGTATTATTGATTATTTGGAGAATGAGGAGAAAAGGGAGGTTGTGGTAGAGGTGTTTCATTTGGAAGGAGAGACTGACTGGGAAAGGATTTACTGCCTATTAAGGAGGGAATATAGGCGGCTTGATGAAGGATTGCCAATTTATGCATATCGGCATGATCTTTTGAAGCAAATTCACGGACAGCAGATAAATTTAACTTCATTTGTTAATATACTTTTGTTATTTTTTTTATTTTTTTTTCCATTTTTAGAAAATGAATGTGGCAATAGAGTTTATGATCTATCTCTTGTTATTTGGTGGCAAAGATTCAGGAATAGACTTTGGTATCTGTTCTATTAGGCATTGATCTACCTCTTGCATTTGTGTCTCCAAGAGGTGGAAGGACTCGTTACCTTATCTATAAGCCTATTTGTCCCACGAAATCTTCTTGACATTCTTACCAATGGAAATACTCCCGATGCCATTGTGATGCAAATGATTTCTTTAATTGCTCAATCAGAGGAACTTGTAGTCCATTGCCCATTTTCTAGTGCTGGGCTCAGGTCATGGCTGTCAATAACAGACCCTCCTTGAAGAACCTCGAGCTTCGAATGGACACCATAACCCAGACCAGAATCTTATTGAAATCTCTTCAAAGTTGGATTGCATTCGGTCTGCAGGGAATTTGGAGTCCCTTAAGCTTTGAGGTGTGCTAATGATTGAAGTAGTTGGTGCTAGATTGAAGGACACAGCTCTATCTGATGCAGTTCGTGCTTGTCCTAATTTGACTCACCTGTTACTTCTTGGTTGTGACGGTTTGAAGTCTCTTTCAATTGAGCTTCCTCATCTGGAGCATTGTAAGCTTTATTTTACTGGAATTGGTAACTGCTTGCTTTTGCTCAATTCACCAAAGCTTGAATCCTTTGAAGTACAAGGTTTTAGTTTCATCCGAGTCACGAATTTATTGCCTAAAATAATTTGTATAGTTGTTGAGCGAATCACAAATAATTTGATTGCTATCTACTTTATCTAAGGCTTTCTTGTGGATGGTTTGATTGTTATGTTCTTTGACAAAATAAAAATTATGATTTTTGCAATTTTTCTTTAATTTTTGAATGCTTGATTGCTAGTTTTATTTGAATCAATGATGGTTATTTAATACTATAAAATTTATATGTTATTTCAAGAATCACCAATTTCAAAATTTATATTTCAAGATACTATACTAACATTAAACTATTACAATTTATTGAATAATCAGATTTTTTGAATAAAATATTGTGAAAAAATATTCTCAAAATTTGAAAGTAAACGCGTTTTCTAATTTTATGTTTTAAGAAACAGTTTTCCAAAACAACAAAAAGAACGTAATTTTAACAAATTTATAACAGGCACTCAAAGCACAAAACCCAAAATGAATTCAAAATTAAAAAATGAAACACAAAGAGAACAGCCCCTAATCGAAAATTTTCAAATCCTTTTAACCCAAAATCTTTCCCTATCCACCCACCCACTAGGTTGTCGAACGCCTACCACAAACCGTTGCTGTCGTAGACTGTAAGTATTTTCATATTTGAATTTTTTATTTACTTCTTTCCTCGAAAATATGTGAAGAAACCTGAACAGCTATTGGTTTGGCTAAAGTTTTGTGGTAGCCCAGTGAAATTTTTGCCTTCTTTCATCCCAAGGCTGCATTTTTTGTTGGGATTATGATATTCGAATAATGGATTATTGTGAATATGTTTGAATAACATGATAATTAGATATGCTTGGTTGTTATAACTGTGCAACTGGCCTTCAAGAATACATATAATTGCAATGCGAAGCTATATCATAATTATGGATTCTAAATTTAGTAGGTGAAATTTATATTTCCCTTCAAGTTGTGTAAACAATAAGATTTTTGAAAGCATTCTTGTCCAAATAAAGATGTCTAATATTTGTTCGAAAGGCCTAAATTCCTAACGTGGCTGTTCCATTTTCACATTTTGCTCCTTGCCTTCCTCTAAATTATTGTGTTTAATGTTTATCAATTTATGTTTATGGTTTATCAATTTATGTTTATATTTTTTATTCGTTACATACTTATATTTTACATTTTTTAATCAGTCATTCATTACTCATGGTTTCCTGAGCAAAATTTATTTATAGGCTTTGGTTTGTTCTGGAAAGCATCAAAAAAAGCTTTAATTTATTGTGGCTCTGATTTCTCGTTCACTTTGATGCAACAAACCATGCAAGCAGGAGCTTCGCTTGATCTTTAGTACCTTGAATTGATTTATGATTCTTGCGAACTATGCGAGTAGATACTTCAATTTAATGTGGCTCTAATTTATATTACGGCATTTTTTGTTATATTGGAATTTTATTCGTATATTAACTTTTTAAAATTTTTGCTCCCCATAACATTAATCCCTGACTCCTCCCAACCTGTCATCTTTATTATTATTCTGACAGTTATTGCATTTCTTCTGTTGATTAGTTTATCATATGTTGCTTTATTTTGTAGTACATCAAGAGAATGAACTGTTGTTTTGCAAATGTTTGGATTGCTTATAGAAGTGATTGACTATTTTGGTCTCTTATGCCTCCATTGAAATAAGTTTTTTCGAATTTGAAGTTGATTAAGACTTATCTTCAATTAACCATGTCACAAGGGTGGTCGAATGGATTAGCTATGATTTCTGTTAAAAAAAGTTGTTGAAACGATTTGATTTGAGTTGATTTCTATTAAAAAAAATGTTGAAATAATTAATTCTGATTTAGGGATTTACCATTTGGTTGCTTTGATTTCTGGATTTATCCAATTGGTTGTTATGGTTTCTGTTAAATTTGTTTTCACATTTAATTTTTTACTTCGTATATAATTTAAATTTATCTTCACATCTAATTGGTTGTTGTGGTTGCCGTTAAAATTTGATTTCAGGATTGTGAGTTGCAACGGTGGAATTCTCAAAGTACCGTATTGTGTCATTTCATAGTTTTTGCTCAATTCCTACTTCTCAGGTAAGCAATGGCTTGCCCTTGCTTATTTATTAACATATTAGAAATGTTTGAGGCTTGTTAGCTTATATGATTGCGGCGTCGTCGGCTTGTATGATTGCATTGCACTATTGCACCCTTATTGGGTTGTATTCAACTTTGTTTTGTTAGATTTATAAGTTTTAAGTTAAGAAGATAATAATTGGTTCCATAATAAACTTCTACATTTTGCCTGCATACTACAATTTTGGAGGTCTAATTTATGCCCCGAAAATTACAGGACTGGAAAGGCACTAGATCATCGTAGAATCAGTGGATCATTGATTAAAAATTTATTCTAAAATATTTCAATACAAATATATTTTTTTTTTCTAACACAAAATTAAGCTTTTAATTTAATTGTCACTAAGTATAATTTTGGATAATATCATCGTTTCTGAATGAAAAATTAAAGAAACTCTTAGGTCTGGTACATGGCTGGGACTTCGTGGGGGCGTGGGCACAAAGGAGCCAAGCATTCGCTGGAAAATTTCTCCACTCTGATTCTGTTCAATTTCTTCTAATAGCACCTGAATTGAAGAAGCTTCTGATCTGTTCTGTGAGAACCTTAAACCTCTCGGGAGTCTGTGTTTGCATTTGTGTAATGGGGGTTTTGAGGAGATTCCATGGAGCCTACAATAGTAGAACTATAAACCGTGCAATCCCATGCATCCAAAGAAGATTATTGTCAGGTTCGATTAGCAAAATCAATGGTGGGGGCTCGGTTTTGCCGGTCTTGATCGTAGGTGCAGGCCCTGTTGGACTTGTGCTCTCCATTCTTCTCACAAAACTAGGTAATGTTTTCGGTTTTATTGAAGTTCAATAATAGAGTTTTTACCACATTTCAATTTCATGTTTCAAATTTCATATGTTATAACCAAAGTTGATACAAGGATTTCAATTGAAATTGGATATAATGCTAATTTCCTGCGATAAATTGTTTCTTAAGGGTCAAATCTGCAGTTTTGCAAAATAATAGTTACTTTTGGTGGCAACTGACCTGAATTTCGTTAGAATGATGAAATAATGATAAATTTCCTTTGTTATTGAAAAATTGAAATATGCTAACTTTTTCTATGATTAATGGTGTTTCTCAGGTGTAAAATGTGCAGTTTTAGAGAAAAACAAGGCCTTTTCAAAACACCCTCAAGCTCATTTTGTTAACAATCGGTCAATGGAGGTTGTTTTCATTCTTTCTTCTTGTGAGTGTTTTGTTAGATTGAGGCTTTATTAAGTAATGTGAAGTTTTCGTTTTGATGTAGATTATTCTTGTTAGGTGTTCCGGAAAATAAATGGCTTGGCTGATGAGATTATGATGTCCCAACCTCCAGTGGAATTTTGGAGGAAGTTCATCTACTGCACTTCACTCACGGGTCCTATTCTTGGTTCAGTTGATCATATGCAACCTCAGGGTAGGATTTTTTGTGAATAATCATATGGAAAAAATTGCAATTTTATAGGTAATTATTAAAACATGGGAAATAAATTACAAAGAAACCACATACCGTTCTTGAGTCATTTCAGGCCCCCCATTTTTCCAATTGTATTTCACAAAATTTAAGAAAACTGCTTGTTGTTCTTCTTCTTCTTTTTTTTTTTTTTTTTTTTTTTTTTTTTTTTTTTTTTTTTTGTGCATTCCTTCATTCCTCTAGCTTGATGTTATATTTAAATGCAACAACTTTTGTTTTATGCAGATCTTGACCGAATTGAGAGTCCTGTTTTTGTTGCACATTTCTCACAGTACAAACTTATCAGATTGCTAATTAAACAACTCGAGAACATAGGCTTTCGGGTTGCAAGTGAAGAGTTGAGCCCCGATGATGTCCAGCTTGCAGAACATAGGGTATTACTGGGGCATGAGTGCACATCTTTCAACACAACTGATCATGGTGTAACTGTAACTACATCTTTTCTTAGGGGAGGAAAGCATATGGAGAAAGATTTCTACTGTGATTTCCTTATTGGTACAGATGGTGCAGGAAGTACTGTTAGAAAGCTCATGGGAATAGACATGAGCGGTGAGAAGAACTTGCAAAATCTCATCAGTATCCATTTTATGAGCCAAGACCTCGGGCAGTATCTGATCAATGACAGACCGGGCATGCTGTTTTTTATCTTCAATACTGAAGCTATCGGTGTTCTGGTCGCTCATGATCTGAAGCAAGGGGAATTTGTGTTGCAGGTAGTATGAGTTTTGTTTGGACATGATTGATACGCAGTATTCAAGATTTTATCTTCGTTTTATTACTTAGGAGTCAAGTACTGTTCAATGTACATAGCAAACATGACATTTATGTTTTCTTTGGGCCGTTTGGTGATGCACATAAATTCTATGGTGTCACCTTTTGTACTTGAAACTGTACCAATAAATTTGTGTTTTCATTGATGTTCTGCAGGTGCCTTTTTATCCGCCCCAGCAAAGGCTTGAAGATTTTAGCTTCAGGGTATATTTTTGTTCTTGCTAGTGAGAAACTTAAAATTTTCTGATGATGTCAAATGTCAATGGTGAGTACCTTAGGTTGAGATAAATGGCGAAATGAAATCAGAGCATGTTTGGCCAAGCTTAAAAGATTGTTATAAGTAAATATATTTTTTAAAATAAATAATTTCATATTGGTCAAAGTTGGAAATAATTTAGCCCATGTTTGGTTTTGCTAAAAATCAGATTTTTATTAGATTTAGATAGATTTTGATGAAATTTGTGGTTCAAAAGTTGATAAAAGTTGTAGATCCTTTGAAAGTGTAATTAACACTAAGCCCCTATTTGGTTTAAATAAAAATCAAAATTTTGTAGATTTTAGACCAATTTATAGGGGGTTAGGGCTGCTCCTCTTAATAATTTTGACATTTCCTGTAAAAAAATTTGTAAATTTTGATAAAAGTTGATGAAATATGTGGTTGAAAATCTATGAATCCCATTAAATGTGTAGTTAAAATTAATTGTTGGATTTAAGTTAGATTTTTATCTACTTTTTGATTTAAACCAAATGGGGGCTAAGTAACTATTACCAATTTCTAAGCTTAAAACAAACATGCTAGAAGACTGCTTTGGAAACTCTAGGTAAATGTTAGAACTTGCAATTGCCATCTTCATAATTGTTCTTTTGAAGTTATTGCATTGTTGTAGATGTGCGAGAGATTAATCTTCAAATTGGTTGGCCGAAAGCTTTTAGACATAGAAGTGATGGATATAAAGCCTTGGGTAATGCATGCTCAAGTTGCTGATAGATTTTCATCGTGTAACAACAGAATAATACTTGCTGGCGATGCTGCTCATCGCTTTCCTCCTGCTGGTGGTTTCGGTATGTAACACTTCAGTCGGTATTTTTTTTTTTTTTTTTGGGGTAAATAATCTCCACCATAGCTGAAATTTTCACTAATTTTCACTTGGTTATTCAGATTGTGTTAATAAGAGTTTAAGGTTTCACAAAACAGGAGTGAAAGAAGGAAATTGATGTAAATGTAATCTTTTTCAGTGTGAGATTAATTGGATTTTGACTTTGAAATTCTGGATGAATTTAAACAGAATAAGAATTCTAGTAAATGGCTTTGCGCATCTAAAAGAATGATTTTGTTTAGATTATAATTTGGGGCATCTATTAGGCTGCAGAATCCAAGTCCCCACTTTATCATATCTTTTTTGAAATTATAATGATTTGCATTCATGTTTATGTTCATCAGTTAACGGACTCTAGAGTTGAGTTTAACGAACTTGTTATTATGAATAAACAGTGGATCTAGGGTGACGTCTTCTTCGGCCATTAGCCTGTATTATTTTACAATATTTTTGAGTAAAATGTACACATGTATCATTTACAAACAGAGACCGCAAGCAAAATAAATGCTACAAGATACACTCTCAAAGCCACAGGAAATCAATCCTGGCCGTACTAATGGTAGTGGTGGCTTGGTCTTTTTCGCTTTCCATTTAGCATAAAGCATATCATGCCTGTCAAAATAGGAAATAAAAAATTGTTAAAATGCGAATAGATGCTTAAAATCCCCTCTGTTGCTTTTTTCAGGAATGAATACCGGTATTCAGGACGCTCATAACCTTGCCTGGAAGTTAGCTTCTGTAATCAATGGCATTGCACGTCCATCACTTCTTTCCACTTATGAAATGGAGCGTAAGCAGGTATCACTTTGTGTAGTGTATTTGCTCATCTCACCTCAATATTGGAGTTTGAAATTGTAATAAATATTCATTCATGAGAAGTGTGTAGTAAATATTTGGGGAAATTCCTGTAATCTATCAGATTGCCAGTTATAATACGGCACTTAGTCTCCAAAACTTTAAAGCAGCAATGGCAGTGCCTGCTACTCTTGGTCTTGATCCAGCCATTGCAAATGCAGGTACATTGATGAGCCTAAAGATTTGAATCTTTTTCTTGTATTTGGATTCACTAGTGAACCTAATTTGTGAAATGTTAATTGGCAGTCCATAAAACTATAAACAATACCGTTGGTTCAATTCTGCCGTCTGAACTACAAAGTGCATTTTTGGATGGTATTTTTAGCTTAGGCCGTGCACAACTCTCAGAGTCTCTTTTAAATGAAAAGAATCCTCTTGGATCTAGAAGGCTTGCCAAACTGAGACAGATATTTGAAGAAGGAAAGAGCCTTCAACTCCAGTTCCCTGCCGAGGATCTAGGTTTCAGGTAGCGGTATTATGTCAGTCACCAACAATATGCTTGTCCTGTTTTAATTACTTTTGAAGTACACACACTTCTCCATTCTCCTCGTGAAAACTGATTCTCTCATTCATTTGGCTTCGGTCAGTGCTAAAAATTTTTAAGATTTTCTTGGAAACTTGGAAAATGTATCTTGTATCATCTTTGTGTTTCTAATTACCTTCAGTTATTATCCACGGAAGGTTTATCTGGTAATTTCATGATAACTTGAAGGCTTTCTTGTTAGGTATCGTGAAGGAGCACTTGTATCTGACAGCAATAGTTTGTCAAGTGCATCAGAAACGCCTACTGGACGGAGGAGGGAATACATTCCGTCCACGGACCCCGGATCAAGACTGCCGCATATGAAAATTAAGCTGGTATCAGAACTGAAAAGAAGGGTACGTGTAACTTGACCCCTGGCCCCTACGAGTTTGTGCTTGCAAGCATATTTCCCCTTTTTCGGTTGCTTGGGGACGTCAGGAATTGTTGCCAGACCATGCTTTTCTGGTGGTCCATTTAGTGTACATTTAGTAGATAGACCATGATAAAATGTAAACTTTGCTCTATCAGTAGGTGAGAAATTATCCCAAATGCCACTCTTATGACCATTTAAGATTAAACACACCCCCCACCCCCCCCGGGGGGCGGTTTCTTTCTCCTCCTAGTTTGCATTTCTTACTTGATATCATCTTTTACAGGAGACTTTTTCCACACTTGACCTTGTATCTAGTGACAATGTTCAGTTTCTTCTGATTATTGCTCCAATTGAAGAGTCCTACAATCTAGCTCGAACTGCCTTTAAAGTGGTTGAGGAACTTAAAGTTCCTCTAAAGGTAGCTGTGATATGGCCAACCATTGATGGAAGTAGCAGAAGTGAAACAGCACTGTCACCTTGGAAGAATTTTGTGGATGCAGTTGAAGTTAAAAGTTCTTCATCTTCACCATCATGGTGGGATCTTTGTAGAATGACAGATAGAGGAGCCATTTTAGTGAGACCTGATGAGCACATTGCTTGGCGTGCAAAGTCAGGAATAATGAATGATCCTATTTATGAGCTCAAAAAGGTTTTTCATCTTGTACTTGGATTGTAGTTGAGCTATTTAGTTAGTTCAATATTTATTTGCGCTAGTAGATACATTTTACGGAGATACTAGATTTATAGGTGTTTTGATACCATTATAATAAGTTTTAACATATTCATTATTATTTATGTATTTTCTTTTCTTTTGACGCTACACAGAATTTTCTATTGATGCCTTCTCATTCCATATACAAGATTAGTTTTATTTTTCAGCTGCACAGTTTACAGATTCAATGCACAGTACAGTAATGTTGTTGTGTGACATGTTTGATAAGGTAAACAGGTTAATATTTAGCACAATTGGGGGGAAAAAAGACGTTACAATGCTTTGTGCTAAACATATCCATCAAAACACTGCAATCAATAATGCAGCTAGAAGCTTGTTTAAACTTCATATTAATTCAGAAAGAAAGAAGGTACATCACTAGTAGAATATGCGACTTATATCAGAACCACTCTATATTTTGGAGTCGGAAAATAGGGATAACTCTGAATCCTGATCCAAGTTATAACTTTAGAGATCAATCAAGGTCAAAATTGCTTTTCAGACTGACCTATTGAAGCATCAAGGAGGACTCCATGATCCATTGACTAAATGCATAACTGTTGCTGAACCAACTCCCAGCAGTGCACCAGCAACAACCTATTTCAGAAAGAATCATGAACTTTTGCTTAGACCGTGAGAAGCTCTTGAGGATACGAGGGGCATGATATCAATAAAACAAGTCAGAAGAAGAAGGGTGATGGGGCAACCAAAACTTACATGGCCTATTTTAGTTGTTAAACATCTAGTTCTTTTAGATCTTCTAGTAGATCTAATAGTGAATGAATCAAACAGCGTGGGCAAAGAATTTACGAAGCTTCTTGAAAGAAAATGAAAAAACGTTCTGTAAAATGGTTTAACATCCTTAACTAAGGTCCAAGAACTTGTGTTTCAGTTCTTGGAAACAGAGGAGACCGCTGTCGTCCCTTTAAACGTTAAAACCATCAAAATTCTCATTTACAGCAGAGAACTGAACCTGGGGAGGAGTGTGACCAAGGAGTTCGCGGAGTGGTCTGCTCTCAGCCAGAGGATGCTCAGATGGAAGTTCACATACAATTTGATTTAAAACCTGAAAAAATTATTCCAGTTTATTAGATGTTACTCAAAACGAACAGCACAAAACTAATTTATTTATAGCTTAACAAATGATGGGAAAATCTGTCAATTTCCACTTCAATCTATTTGCACGAGTACAAATCCAACCACGTACCTCTGCTTGACGTCCAGCTTGTAGTCTTACACCATTGCATCATACATCGCCTGCCAAACAATGCTCGTCAAAAGAAATCCGCCGTAAACAATGTAGACTAAATTTAACGACCCAAAATTCGTGTTGATGACAAGTGACAACCAAACAGGTGACCGTTAAAGTATCTATGATCAAAGCCTAGTTGGCAATGACACCATACAAGTAAAATGTACAAGGATGCGTTTCTTCAGGAAATGCTAGCACTTTTCTTTAGAATAACTCTATTTTACGAATATTATTTCCATATAATCTCAAGCTGCTTGATGATTTTGCAATTCAACATTCCATCCAAGTGCTTGTTGAAACACCTCATCGAAATAACTTGTTTTTATCCAATTAAATTTTTACCATTTGGAACAAGAGGAGCAAAATATTTTTGGACAAGAGCCTTCTAGCTCAAGACTCTTCACAGTTTGTTTCTCTTAGGAATTAAACACTTAGCCCTTGTTTCGCTACCATTTATAAATTGTTTATAATCAGTCAATCACTTTCATACACATATTTTGTAGGATCCATAAGTATTAACCACTTATCCACCACTCTTTTTTATCCATTTATAATTTAAACTGTGTATAAACAACTCCCAAACATGCTTTTAATTCATCAGCCCAGTATATCAGAAAGAGAATTTTAAGATGTAATTTGAATATTCAAGGATAATAGACGTCATCCCGCTAATCACGCATTCATCTTAGTATCATTTGACAAATGTATAAACTGAAAAGAAAATCACCAATCACAGAGCATCAAACAGTTAACCAAGTCTTGAAACACACATAACGAGTAAATAATGATCTACTCCAAGAAACAAAAGGGAAAGAATATAACATAAATGAAGAGATCATACCACACATGCTAAGATCAATGCAGTTGCAAAATACCGATCCTCCAAAGCCCTCTTGCAAGCCAACAGCTACCGCAAGAGCTGTTACCGTTGCTGAATGGGACGATGGCATACCACCAGATGCAACAAGTTGCTTCAGATCCCAACATCTGTCCTTATACCTGCAAGACTATTATAGCCTTAAGACTTTCAAAAATAACTATCATAACCTCATCGGTCTTCAACGACATTGGGTTTGATGTGTGTTAGTACAGCATTTAACTGTGTCTACAATGGAAGTTCGAGAGGACAAAAAAAATTTCTTTTATCAACTCTGAAGGTTTCAAGATAAGGCAATAAGCATTAACTTTCAGGGTTTAGTCATGACCTAGACAATGCCTAATGTAGTTCATTAAATTTCTAAGTAGAATCCCGGACAAAATACTTTTTATTTCCGTGAGAGGGGAAACAAAATATTTCTTAATATAGCATGTAATCACAGTTTGTGTACATTATCGCCTATCTTGTGCACTAGTTCAAGCTCCAACTAAAAAGGTATCAATTTTTCTATGAATTGTGGACAAGTTTTCTAAGAGATCTTTCAATTAATTTGTTTCTGAATCTGAATATCTTGAATTATATTTAGTCAAATTGATTAATTCCTCCTTCCTTAAACCTTAAATAGGAAAAATTGCGCTCATTTAGGGCCCATTTGCAGGGCTTATGCTTCTGCTTCTTGCATAAGAAAGCTCTTCTAGAATTATACTAACAGGTCCAGCAACAATTTCTAGTTTCAGAAGCACCATTTAGCTTTTCAAAAGCCTGTCAAACGGGCCTTAGAGTTCTTGAATTCAGCATCATAGTCATTTTTATCTTTCAGTAAGGATCTCCCGGAACCTACTAATAGCTAAAAGAAACAAAATAGAGTCATCAACGAAGTGTTATTAGAATTCGGGGAAATAATTTCCTCATAGTAATACACACCTGTTATGTATAAGATAAACTCTTTGAATATATAACATAAGAAGTCCACAGGAACTAATAGTGTACACCTTGAAACTACTTAGGCATCCTCCTTTTACGAGCTGATTTTAAGGATAAGTTTTATATCTGAACAGGCACCCTCATCGTTGACCGGGGACCTGGAAATGTCAACTTTCAGCACAAAACTAGTTCGGTGAAGTGATCTATCTGGGAATGTGGAGCTATGCAGACGTCAATTCTAAAAGGTGGGGCCGGGCCGGGACGAACACTCTCCCGCCCCTTGCAACTTTGCGCGCCAGTCTCTGCCTAATGGGGTTCTATTCTAACAAAGATCTGATTCTAACATAAGCATGCAACCAAATATAAAAGACTTAGCACAGATATAAATAATTTTCACAAAAAGAACAACATTAAAGTCATCGATCCCCATTCCTAGATTTCCTCAATTAAACCAAAATTCATCCACACGTGAATAGATAGATACACATGTATACATACGCACAATGAATCGAAGTGTATCAGGAGGTTATGAGCTTAAACGACTGGGCAAAAGCAAAAGCAAAGGCTATGAGGACAGACATTATGGATAACTCGCCAACACCGAGGTCGAGATATACGAGGTGGGTGTTTCTGTTGACCTTGGCATTGCATCTTGGATCAACCCAACTGTTGATCCACCCATTTCATCCATCACCATTTTCGATTACTAATTTTCCTCTAATTCAATTTTGACTCTCCCTCTCAAGCTTCAATTCCTCAAGAATTTTATACGGAAAAATGGAAGCTGAATGACCGTTAGAAGGTGTTGACACGTAAAAATTCAGTCCAAATCGAACAGTCCAAGTAGTAAAGCCCAATTGAAAGATCCTCAAATCGGATAGCTCAAAGAACGAAGTCCAATCGAACGAATCAAGGTGAAGGCCCAAATAAGGGGCCCAAGAATGCGGTAACGCTATCGCCCAAGTTTGCAAGTCGCCCAAAATCTGAACGAATGGAGTGTCATACGGTCGCCCAGAGCTGTTATTCTACTCTCGCCCAAACCTCCAAGTCGCCCAAAGTATCAACAAACATAACGTATCGTGGTTATCAAGGAATGCAGTTATCAAGGCAGTTGTTAAATTAGCCTTATCACGTTCCACGACTCAAGGAATTCAATCGAAAGCGGTTGAACGATGAAAGATAATGACAGCAGTTAAAAGGCAGTTTCATGACAAAATGGCCACTACAAAGAAAGTGGGTAGTTATAGGACGATCAAGCAGTTTTTAGAGTAGTTAATCACAAAGAGATCGTTTATAAGGTATAAAAGGGAGAAAGGACGCAGAAGTAAAGGACCGAATCCAAAACACTCGAACAGAGAATATGTAATTTTCATTTCTTTAGCTTTTAGATTTAAACACTATTTTTTCTGTAACTCGTGTGCTTGCGCCCCTTGGAGATACGCTGTTTTTTATTTCCAATTGTAAAGTTCATCGCCAATAAAAGAACACCCATTTTTGGGACTTTGTCTCAAGAGGTTTCGTCCCTTACACAATCGTCTGATCCTTTTTAATTGTTAGCGACTTAACCCGCGCGAAACAATTTGGCACGCCCAGTGGGACAGTGGTGTTAGGTGTTGAAAATATAAAAGGTGAAACAATATGCCTCAGAGATCCGACAAGGAAGGAGCAAGTCAGGGAGGAATCCAGTCTGTAATCGAGCGATATGAGGAGCAGCATGCCTCTCCACGAACAGATGGACAAAATCAGAGCAGTAACAGTCGTTACGAACCAATGACGGAGTTGAGTCCTCGAACCATGCGTGCATTGCTTGGAGAACTCACGCAAGACGTCGTTGAACAGGTAAATCTTCGAAGTATTCATAATATGGAAAGATTTACACAAAATGGAAATGCACACTATGCAATATGGCCAAACAGCTAAAGACGTTAAACGAAACAATGAATAAGTTAGTAGGCCAAATATGTCAACCGGCTATACCTCTTACAAACCATTTTCAAACCAGGACAGTTGTGGGACATAATCCCTATGTCCTAAATCCGAATCAAGGGGTAGAATCGCTTTCTGGTCCCTCTACTTCAAACCAAGGGGGTACTACAGTGCCAAATCAAAACAATGGTAGTGGCATGCCTAACTTGGGAGGTAATTCAAACGTGAGAGATAATGTCCTAAACAATGGACAGAATATTCCATGTGGTAATGAGGGAACAGATGTTCGGTAATGGACCTAATTATGGTAATTTTGTTGCCAATCAAGGACCAAACATCAGATCTCATGCAAATCAACCGGTTAATCAGCCTGTAGGAATTCCATATGATCACAATGTCATGTTGAGAAACCAGATTATGGAAATCGTGCAGGATCAGATGGCCTTTGGGGTGCGTCCTGTCATTAGGCCGACATACACAAAGCCATATTCTGATTGGGTAGACCAAGCATATCCATGGCCTAGAGGGTATAAAGTGCCAGAATTCTCACTGTTTACAGGTTTAGGAGAGGTGTCTACTCTAGAACACATAGGGCGATTCACGTTGCAAAGTGGTGATATAACCGATTACCATAAAATGAGACTTTTCCCTAGTTCGTTAACAGGAGTAGCTTTCTCCTGGTTCATCAACTTGTCAGCGAACTCTGTTCAAACATGGCAACAACTGGAACAGTTGTTTCATGCTCAGTTTTATAAAACTGAATCTGAAGTCACTTTGGCTGATTTGGCGAATCTACGTCAAATGCCAAATGAATGGGCAGAAAGTTTTCTCCAAAGGTTCAAAACAGCAAGAAGCAAGTGTTTTGTACCTCTGCCCGAAAAAGAATTTGTCAAGATCGCACAAGGCTGCTTGAGCTTTGATTTAAAAAAGAAGTTCCAGGACAAGGAATTTCCCGACATTTTCCAGTTGAGTGCGAATGTGATTAGGTATGAGCGACTGATAAGAGAAGAAGAACAAATGAAAAATTCTAGTAAAGGGACTTATTACAGAAATCCAAATTTTGACGTTCATACCATTGTGACCAAAGCTGACCTTATATTCGATAAATTATATAGGGATAAGCAAATAAAGCTGAGCGATAAGCACAAATTGCCAAACCCTGAACAAATAAAGGGTAAAAAATATTGTAAGTGGCATAATGCATGGTCACATTTGACTAACAATTGCTTGGTTTTCTGTCACGTATTGCAGGATGCTATTGAATCAGGACGAATTACGTTCGACGATAAGAAAAAGATGGCAGTGGACGAGAATCCTTTCCCACAGCCACTTGGGGTAAATATGGTAACGTCTGGGTTCAAGAACAAGTTGCCAAAATTCAAGTTGGTCATAGACGATGGAGAAGAGGATACTAAAACACATCCCAGTGTCTTCGAACGAATCAAAGGGAAAGAACCAAAAAAGGACGAAAACGTCCTGTGTGCAAGGTGTAAAAGGGAAGTAAATGGAGACACAGAGAAACCAGGGACATGGCAGCATCCTCATCGCCCTGCCTTATTCCCAAACATTCAGCCTGGTAGAGGGCAAGGTACATCATTTTATAGAGGACAGCCTTTTGAAAGGCAGTTCAGACCAGCAGATACTGGAAGAACATTTAGGCCGCAACCTCGCCGGCCAAATGTATGGCATTCATTCCAGTACAGCATAGGAAGGACAATACCCTTCGATGAGATGACTAGGACCCAACAAAGGTGTTTCCAACGAAACTACGGACGGATGATGAGGCAACAACAAGGAATGCCACATCCTAAAGCGCCTCTATTACTCAAGGTAGCCAATCAGAACGTCCTCAAAGGTAGTAAAGAGACTGGTACAGATGAATCAATGAAGGAACTGCCAGAAACCTCTTCTGGGAGGTCAAGGTTTGAGAGGGACAAAAAGGATGAAGAAGATCCAGATCAGCCCCTTGCTATCCAATTCGGTACGTTGCCTCCTGTCGTGGCCAATAATTACCTACTGGCCAATGAATTCAAGAATAAAGAAAAGGAAGAAGAAAGGGAGGACAACGAAGGAGAAGCCTGCATGTTGGTATGTGAAGAAGGCCAGACTTCTGGAGAGGCCTACAACAATGAAGAGGACGATGGGATGACAGACATTGAAGAAGAAATAGACCTAGAAGCAGAAAGAAAAAAGAGGGAAGTATCGCACAACACTCTGTTTAAGCAACTACACCAAGAGGGAGTTCGCGAAGTAGACTTGTTAGGGGAGCCATCTGGGCATCCTTTCGACTTCTACGTACTATACGGGACACCCAAAAGGAAGAAGAGAGTGCCTCGCTCTGAGAAGTATGGGTCACCTCCAAGAATAATGTCCCCTCCCACAGGTTGGATAACTGATGAGGAAGCATTAGAAAAAAGAAGGAAATTCAGGAAACAGAGGATCAGCGTGACATACTGCACGTCGACCTATCACAAGGGGATAATTCGACAGAAAACAAACAAGAGGTAGAAATAGAGGCTGCCGAAAAGGTTGTTTTTAAACGGCCAGCCATGAAGTTGACAAAACACCTGAGGCCATTATACGTTAAAGCTCTAGTTAACGGCGTCCCAGTGGCAAAAGTGCTTGTCGACAATGGAGCAGCTATAAACACCATTCCATCTAGGATGATGAGAAAGTTCACAAAGACAGAGGGTGATATGATTCCTACAGAAGTCATCCTCACTAGCTTCAATGGAGGAGCAACTTCAGCTAAGGGAGTTATGCCATTGGACATAACTATAGATACGACTACCAGGACCACTGTCTTCTTTGTAATAGATGATCCTACTAGTTACAACGTGCTCCTAGGAAGGGATTGGATACACGGAAGTCACTGTATACCCTCGTCGCTCCATCAATGCCTGATTTTTTGGAATGACAAAGGCGAAGCAGAGGTGGTACAGGCCGATCATAGGCCTTTTGTCGCAGAAGCAAACTCGGTGGAAAAGTTCATGTACGAAGGAAACTATGGACCTGTCAGAGTAGTACAAGACGGGGAAGAAACTCAGGTTGTCGCACAAAGCGAAGAACCATTCTCAGTAGATGCACTCACTGAAATATTCAAACAAATGAGGCCAAATATAGTGGCCCTGGAAGAGCCAGTGATTGGCAAAAGAATAATCAAGGAATCTTGAATGGATTCTGAATTGCAAAAGCAAATGGCCGATATTCAGGCCTTCAAAACCAGACTGATGGCTTTCAATAAGGAATGCAATGACAAAGCAAA